TTTGTAATGTCTGTTTTGCTGTACAGAAGCTCTTTAATTTGATGTAGTCCCATCTGTTTGTCCTTGCCTTCACTATCATTGCATTGGATATTGTATCTTCAAAGATGTTATTGAGGTGTATTTCACGTAGTGTTTCACCATCTTTGCTTCCAGGTATTTTGTGGTCTCCATTCTTATGTCTAGGTCTTTAATCCACTTTGAGGTGTCTTTGTCTTTGTGCATGGTGTGAGGTAATCATCATTCTTTTTTTTTTTTTTTTTTTTGCATGTTGCTTCCCAGTTTTCCCAGAATCATTTGTTCAACAAACTTGTTGTTCCATTGTATCTTCTTTGCTCCTTTGTCAAAAATTAGGTGTCCATAAACTCGTGGGTTTATATTTGGGTTTTCTACTCGAATCCACTGGCCAGGCCTCTTTTTTTATAGTAAAATATGCTACATAAAATTTACCATTTAAAGCATACAGTTCAGTGGCATTAAGTATATCTATATTGTTGTACAATAATCAGCACCATCTGTCTCCAGATAGATCTTCTCACCTGGCAGAAATAAAGTTCTGTACCCATTAAACAATAACTCTGCATTCCCCAAGCCCCAGTTCCTGGCTACTCACTTCTGACTTGTGAATTTGACTGATTCTACAAGAGGAATCATACAGTACTTACCTTCTTGTGACCAGATTATTTCACTTAACATTAATGTTCTTGAAGTTTATTCATATTGTAGAATGTGTCAGAATTTCCTTCCTTTTCTGCACCATTTTATATTCCCATCAACAAGTATACAAATATTTGCTACATCCTTAACACGTGTTATTTCCTCTTTTTACCTAGTAGCCATTCTTACGGGTATGAGGTGGTATCTCGCTGAGGTTTTGACTTGCACTTGCCTAATGATGTTGAGCATCTTCTCATGTGCTTACTGACTGTTTGTATATCTTCTTTGAGAAATGTCTGCTCAAGTTCTTTGCCCATTTTTCATTTCTTTTAAAGAAATTTGGACTTGAAGGGAAAACTATCTGATTCACTTCTCTTAGAGTAATTTATCCCTACTTAAAGACATATTGCCCTGCATGTAACAGCTATGTATAAAAAGTTAAAAACTTGTCCTTGGTTTTATAGTGATAAATGAAAAACATTAAAATTCCCCAATCAAACAGTATGTACAAGAATTAGTATGTTATTATTTTTGTTGTTGTCGAATATTAAAAGTAAAATAAATTACTAGAATATATATACAGATAAGAGCTGAATGAGTATGCCTCAAATGGAAAAAGGCAGAATTTTCACAGAACCAGTATTTTTCCCCATCTTATCTCCATTTGATGTCAATCAAAACATACCATTGTCCATTTAGCTTTAAAACATGCAATATGTTTTTGCATACATACTGTTTATGCACAATAAAAGAATGGAAGGGGAAATGAAAGAACAGCAGAAACTATACTGTAGTAGTCAGAGTATGGTGGAACCAAATTGCAGATATTAATGAGAATGTGTTGTTCTGATAAAAGAGCTTTGGAGTAAAGTGCCAGGTGCCCTTTTTAGTGGACACCTCTGCTTGCTACTGAAAAAGGTATGTCTGTTTCACTGGTTGGCTTCCCATCAAATTTGAATCTAATCTGCCTCATTGACAAACCCTGTTGCTCACAATAGATTTTCACCACAGTCAATGAAGTACACTGCTGAGGGGAGCAGCAGAAGGGTCAGGAGGTGTCTAACACGCCATGTGTATCATCTTTGGGGCTGGAGATAGAATTTGCACTGAAGCAACTGTGGCCAGCTGCAGAGCTGCATTCTAACCCATTGTACCACCAGGGAGGGCCCTCTCCCTCTTAATTTTAAAGAGTACCACAGAGCCATCTTAACTGGCCACCTCCAAATTAACATGATCGTTTTTCTTAGTGTTAACTCCTTCCTTGGGTTTTGCTTTAGCCACGGGAAGGGCTAGTCTGCTCAGCTGACACTTCAGAAGTTACCAATATGCACTAACAAGCACATAGCATGAGGAGGCTCTTTGCTTACTTTTTATTGGGTGTTTTTTGTGAGTTTTAGGCATTCTTTAAATATTGTAGATATTAATCCCTTATCAGATAAATGATTTGCAAGTATTTTCTTATTCTGTGGGTTGCCTTTTCACTTTTGCCCTTTGATGTACAAACGTTTTTAATTTAAAGTCCAGTTTGTTTTTCTTTTGTTGCCTATGCTTTTGGTGTCATATTCAAGATATCATTCATTTCCCATTCAAATTGTCATGAAGCTTTTTTCCTAAAGTTCTGAATTTTGTAATTTTAATTTTTACATTTAGGCCTTCAATCCATTTCACTTAATTTTCTAAGATGTAAGGATCTAACTTTATTCTTTTATTTTGGGTATCAGGTTTTTCCTAGTATATTTGCTGAAAAGACTATCCCACTGGATAATCTTGAGAACTTTCTCAAAAATCATTTAACTGTGTATGTGAGGGTTTATTTCTGGAGTTTCTGTTTCCTAGCTCACTTTTAATGGCTGTTATTTATCCATAATATGGACACATTATAGTTTAGACACATTATAGTTTACTGGAACATTCATCTACTGGTGGATATGTAGATTGAGTGAGGCTTTTACTACTACCAACAGTGCTAAAATATATTTCTACATAATGGATTCACAAAAATGAGATCATTTGGTTTTTAATTCAGTAGATTTTTAATAGCCTTTTTCCCACATCCTTGATAATGTTTCAAAGTGTATTTATTGTCTCCCAATAAATGAAAAAAAAACCCTTTCTAAGTCATTATTGAATACTAAAAAGTAAAAGGATATTGATAAATATTTGTTATGTGTTTAAAAGACATTTTACTGTAGGTTTTTAAAAGAAAGAAAACTATCCTTTCATAACAAGAAAAATCAAAGTGAGAATATTTATTTCTATGTGTAGCTGAATAATATTGATTTTGAAACAACCAGGTTTTGGGTGTTTTTCCTGCTGTCACCCACATTCCTGAAGTAAGTGAGCTAGCTAATGGCTTCTAATTTTTCCCAGCTGAATGCAGATACTGAAAGAGAAGAGGGAGAAGAGTTTGAAGACAACATGGATGTTTTTGATGACAGCAGCTCCAGCCCTTCTGGCACCTTAAGAAATTATCCACTCACCTGTAAAGTTGTTTATTCCTACAAGGTTTGTATTTCTCTAATATACTGCTATTAAAATGTGACAACTCTAAAGATAACTGTGTCTACCTAGCCTCTTATGCAGTGCTTAATGTAAAAATGGTATTTGGTTAATATAGAGGCAACAAAGCATAATGGTAAAGAGAATATATTGTCTCTGACATGGACTGCCTGTGTTAAAAATCAGCTGTATGATCACACTAGTCCCTTAATCTCTGAGTCTAATTTTTATTTTATTTAAGATTTTTTAAAATCTATATTATCAGGATAACACTATAGGACTAGTTTGAAGATTAAATAATATTTTTTATAGCAAAGCACAGTTACTAGAATCCAATAAATTTTAAGTAAATGGAACTTTCACCTTGTTACCAATTGCTTGCTTGACATAGGACCCTCCATTAGGATAAGCCTCAATTCATACTTGAAAGAGACTGTAAAAAGGACATTTTTTAAATCTTTACCTTTCCTAGCCTTAACACAACCACCTCTTGTTTCCAAGTTAAGCAGGGATCTGAATAACTAGATGCCAGAATTTCCAAACCTGAAATGGTATGATAGTTTTTAATCTCTCTCATCCCCGCCCTACTTTCACATTAACTTTTTCACTCATGCCAAGAAATCTGAGTTTTAGTTCCCCAGTTCTTCCCCTTCCCTCTCACTGCCCTCATCTAGTCCATCAGTCAGAAATAATGACTCTACTTCCGAAACATCCCAAATCCATTCACTTTTCACCATTTTGGCTAGGCCTTTGCTTTGATTACTATAAAGGGAAAAAACTCAACACTTTGTACAATTCATACTTGCCTCCCAACAATCCATTCTCCACCCTGCAGCCAAAATTATCTTTAACACAAAGAAGATATTTTATTCCCCTGCCTAAAACTCCTTGTAAACTTCCATCACACTGAGAAAAACAAACTCTTCTCTAGGGTCCAAAGCATCCAGATGACCTGGCCCCTGCCATTTTCCCTAGCTTCATATCAGACCATTCTTGCTACACAACTCACTCACTACATATTAGCCACTCTGGTTGCCTTTCAGTTTTCCAAAGTACCCTACGTACTTGGAACTTTGCACTTGCAGCTCCCTCTATCTAGAATTCTTTTCCCAAGTCTTGGTTGGCTATCCACTGTTCTTCATAGAGGCTCAGCTCAAACAGTGGCTCCTCAGTCACCATTCTCTCCCCCAGTGTCCTTCTGTACTCTTATTTACATTACAGCACCTATAGCCGGCTCTGGGTATTTCTTTCCCTGACTTCCCATTAAAGGTCTTTGAAGATGGAAACCTTGTCTGTGTCTGTGTACCTCAGTATGTTGGATAGTGCCTGGCATATCACAGGTCTTCAGTAACTTACTGTGGAATTATATTAGGAAGGCATGAGCAAATGAATCCTCCTCTGGCTCCCATGCTGATAAAAACTTAGGGCTAAAGTGATAACAAGAGAGGAAGGGGCTGGAGATGCCTTCAACAGTCATACCCAGGATAGTTTCACTCCCAGCACCACAGTCCCTGGATAGCCAGAGCTAGCAGTGTGGACTCCTCAAAATGAGTGCTACCCACACTTTTTCTAGCGTAACATCCTTTCATAATATATTTAAATTAATAATACTTCCTCTTTTCTGAAAGTGGTTTTTTGTTGTTGTTGTTAACTGTGTAATAATTTTGGAAATTTGAAGTCATTTTCTGAGGTACTTGAAAAAGGTGTTATGGTAAAACTAGGGTTGGGAATGTTTTCTCCTCTTATTTCCCAGTAAGATATTTACTCTGAAGTTCTAGAATTAAGATCTAACATCCTTAAATGGAGATGGTCCTAAGTGTCTGAGTGATTATAAACAGTTCACATTCATTTAACTTTCCTTCTACCACAGAAATGTGCCTATGGCAAACCAAGACTACAAAAATCTATTTGGTCAGTTAATCATTAAACAATCATGTATTGAGTGTCCAATGTATGATTAAGTTTTCAAGGTAGAAAAACAAATGTAACATAATCCTAGCCCCCCAGGAACAAGTAGACTGGGGGAAGCCCACATAAAACTGAAAAGTAGAGTATATATGAAAACATTTATAAAAGAGGTGAAAACCATAATTCTTTCTGAAATGGTTGGGAGAAAATTTACACGAGATGGTATTTAAACTAAGTCATGAGTAATATCTTTCAGTGAGAGACTAGAAGGTAGGGAAGGGGGAGAGCCTTCTAAGCAAAGAGAACAACAAATACAGAGGCACTATTTTATGAAATAATGGAGTTCTTAATAAATGTTAAATTAGTGGTACATGAAAGAGCAGCTGGAAGAGCAGCTGTCAGAGAATCAGGGGCCTTGTGGACCAGAACTGATTTTTAGCTTCTATCCTGGATGTCCCAAATCAGATTGGATGTCCGAGGTCAGGTGCCTTCTTGCGGTATAGTTACTATAGAGGGTAGATTTGGATAGAGACTAACTATAAACCTAATAGTGATTCCTATAGTTCAGACTATCAAAGAAGGCCTGATGAGAACAAAAAAAAAATCAAAATGTAAAGATTAGATTTAAAAATCTTTAAAATGTGCTCCCTCCATCAGTATATTTCAGTCAAGCTGCCTGTTCTGCTCCCCACTCTGTCTCTGGTGAATACTATCACCTACCGCACCTCTGGCCTGTATCCCAAGTCTTGAATGTATAAATAAATAAATCTTTAAAAACAAACAAAAAACAAAACCAAAAAAAATCTTAAAAATACCCATAACTGTTGATCTGGCTAGCATCTGTTCTAAAGAAATGACCTAACATTGAGAAACATTTGGGTACAAAATGTTCTTCCTTCATAGTACTACTTTGTAATAACTCAAAGTTGGCAGTCTGGTTGGTATGAGTAGCTAAATAAATCAGCCATTTATATAATGTGGCCATCACATAATACTATGAAGAAAATTACCTCATGAGTAGTTTTTTCATGTAACAAGAAATGCTATGTTATATCAAAAAAAAAGATGTATGTACCTTAAGGTTTCAATTATATTTTACAACTTTTCTACTTTGAACATATTTTACTTCATAATCAGGTAAAAGCATATTGTTTTAAGAAAAATAGGAAATTTGGACAAATAGTTGTAGGAATAAAGAGCATGGCTGCTTCTGGAGTTCTGACTGTCCCTGCAGATTAGACTTCAGTGGGGTGTGAGACCACGTGTCTGTCTAGTCACCATTGTCATCACGTGCTGTCTTTCCCTGGGTAAGTGAGAATTACATTCCCTGCCTTATGGAAGCCATTCTAGTAGGAAGCCCACAGGGCAGATAGCGGTAGTTAATGTCAGAGTCTTCTAACAATAAAAGGAAAAAGAGGCCACCAGCTCATTGTTGGTCATCTGGGAAAACATACCAGCTGGCCGCAAGTCATATAGTAATAGCTACCATATATGAAGTTTCAGTAATCAACTCATAATTCAACAAATAAGCTTGAACACCTTCCATGTACATTCATGCTCTTTTTCTCAGGGGTGTAGCATTGGTCAAAGCAAACAAAAATCTCTGCCATCATGTAGCTTATAATCTAACAGGAAGGGGAAAGAAAATGTGGGTGCAAAGAGGTCTGATGGCCACTTGCCCATAGAAACAGTGTAAAACTATACTTGAACCATGTGAAATAATCTAAATTCATGCACCAGATGGGAAAGAAGGAGCCGGTCTTGCTGGAAAGGAGGAACAACCTGGCAAAAGCATAAAGGCAAGGAATGATGGGTTGGATCTAGAAAATAGGGAATCGTGTGCTGGGATCCAGGCATCAGGAGACCATGGAAACCACTTTGTAAGACCTGAATGGCATGCAGTGGACTTGACTTTGTCAGGTGGAAGAACTGGTCTCTGCTTGGGAATGGTATGATTAAGCATATGTCTGCTTATGTGATAGCACTGGACAACTTATGGGTAGACCTCCATGACTGTTTTTACAAGGATAGCATATAAAGGGGTGATCTTGTCCTTCCTACTTTACTCTCACACATTAAAGTCAGGGTGCATTGATACTTCATAAGTCTTGCCATGAAATCAGGAAAACATCTTTGTTATATAAGTGCCTTTTGCTGGTATATTTCAGGGCATAGTATGTTATTATTAGCAAAGAAATTCCACTGATTTTTTTTCTTTCATATTTTGAAATAAGAGGTAATTTACTTAAACTTCTAGTCTTGGAGTATTTCTGTAAATACCACTTTCCCACCTAGCAGCTATAACAATGTCCATAATCTGAGTTTGATGAAATGTTATAATGCACGTAAGTGGAAAACGAGTCTAAGGAAAGCGACCCATTTCCTTCCTTATTTTTCTTGTGTAATTTAGATATTTTACATTTTGATACTATGGGATTTGAAAAACTATATGGTGTTTAGGTGATAGTTGTAACTGTCTTGGGATGTGGGGAAAGATTTTAAGATTATTCATTGGAGAACTAGAAGGTGCCATCAGGACCTTCCCTATTACATGTGGTAGGCAAGTCTCTTTAGGAAACAAAGCCACATAGTCTCTCTCTACCCCCTCTGCAGAATTCCTGAGAGTTTGCTCTTAGATTCTACTGTCTCAAGGGCAGTAACTGGGCAGCTGGTGCTAGTGGACTCCTGTCAAGGATAATAAAACCAGTTAGCGGCTTCAGCAGAAGCACCCAAGTGGATCAACCCAGTCTCCACAGTTAAGTTGGAGCATAATAAATCCAAACTCTGACTGGATCTCAATCATTTCCTTTCCCACAACCTTGTTCTCTCGGCCACTGTTTTTCAGTGATTCCAGATCAATTCTAGGTGCTGCTCAAGCCGTCATCTAATCCATGAACATAGTTCTTTGCATTTTCACAGCATGCACCTCCATGGTAGCCCACGGTGCGGTTCTAATTCAGTGCTTTCTCCTTTGCCTGTGCTTCCAAAATCATCATGGTTCTGGCTTATTCATCCCATGTTGACTCCCCCATCTTCCCAAGAATGGCAGGATTGTCATTTTGAAGAAATGGAGGCATCAAGAAGTTGAATAACTTAACCAATAGATACATAAGCTGGAACTGGACCCGAGGTCCTCTACTTCCAGCTGACAGCTCTGAAAATTGAGCCTGATTGCCTCTTGAGGATTCCGTTTCTCCAGTTTTTGTTGTGGCTTTCTTTTGTTCAGTTTTTAAAGTAAAACTTCACCTCATTATGATAGTTTTACAACACCTAAATTTTTATTTTCAATAAGTTTTTCAAAATCATTTCAGTATTTTGATCCCCAGTTTTTGTTATGATCAGCTCACATCTGCTCTTTATCTAACCTTTTTAATTTTGTCCATGACCATCCTACATTGCAGGCTTCTCAACCAGATGAGTTGACCATTGAGGAACATGAGGTGTTAGAAGTGATTGAAGATGGAGATATGGAAGACTGGGTAAAGGTATATTCCTTTGCTCATATCGCCCCTCCTTGTGACATTTTTAGGAGTTTATTTTGGTTCTTGTTATGCCCTGTCCAAATTGTGTGTGCAAACCTGTTTTGTCACATGTTTTTTACTCAGGCTCGAAATAAAGTTGGTCAAGTGGGTTATGTGCCAGAAAAATACCTACAGTTTCCCACCTCGAACAGTCTGCTGAGCATGCTACAGTCCTTGGCTGCTTTGGACAGTCGGTCACACACATCCAGCAATTCCACGGAGGCCGAACTCGTTTCAGGCAGCCTCAACGGAGATGCCAGTGGTAAAGACTGAAACAAGGCACTCTTTATTTGGTCACATCTGACCTAAACTGTATTGCCCTGCAGTAAGCCTTCAGTAGATTTAAAAGCACATTATTCCTATTCTGTGTTTTCCTTTATTTGGTTACATCCAATACAGTAGAACCTTAAAGTTGATCTTCATTGAGTAAAAACATTAAAACTTTCTCCCTATTCTATATAGTGCCCTTTAGTTGTCACTTGAGTGTAGGGGTGGTTGCAAAAAAATAACCTGTCAATGTTCTTACTGGAGTTTTCTCTCTCTCTTGTACCTAGTCTGTTTTGTGAAAGCACTTTATGACTATGAGGGCCAGACAGGTGATGAGTTATCATTTCCTGAGGGAGCAATCATCCGAATTTTGAACAAAGAAAACCAGGATGACGATGGCTTCTGGGAAGGGGAATTCAATGGGCGGGTTGGAGTTTTCCCATCGGTGCTAGTGGAAGAACTTTCAGCGTCAGAAAATGGCGACACTCCGTGGATGAGAGAGATTCAGGTACACAAGAGGGGAGAACACTGCTTTAAAATAATGTTTAAAGAAAATTACTCCAATGGGCCTGTTAGCCCAGACGAAAGTGAGCTGTAGTCCCAGCTTTATTCTTAACCCTCCAGCCTCGGATGCCAGGTTTCTACAAAACTGAATTTTGGCAAGTGGGGACTTGCCTCCTCTGTCATGGCTATATTACACCTTCAGTTCTCCCACATGTTGTTCTCTGAATCAATTCACTAAGATGCTAAATTGAATATGGCATACATTTCATGGGAAGACAGAAACCAGAGAAGGACTGCATTTCACAATGGTTAGTTAACATGGTAAATGTTTCCAAAAGTAAAAGCTTGCATTCTCTCTTCGTTACTGTCAGGGTTCCCTGCCCATTCCAGGTCCTGCCCATTCATTTCAGAGAACTAATGAGCCTGAAACAACCCTGTTCCACTCTGATGACATTTGGTTTAGCTCATGATAGCACAAGTTGCTTTTACAGGGAACCCTAATTTGGGTCTGTCACAGTAGGCCTGGCAGGTCAGTAGCCATAAGAATCATCCTTCCATGAAGTTGTTTAATATTGTAAACACTTAGCTGACATTTACCAAATCTGGGGAAATCAGAAACTCAGCCAATTATTTTATATTCACAAAATCATGCAACTTTCACCTTTTTTTACTCTTCACAATGAGTTGACTAAATTACCTAACTTGATGTTTCTAGTAGAACTCTAGAGAATAGTTTGACTTGATTACTATTATAAATTAAAATCAGTAGTATAATGGGAAGAAAGTTAAATGCAACACAAAATTGGGACTTGGGGGGTTGTTATTTTGGGCTCATTTGCTTCTGATGAGGCTGACCCAAAATATTAGTAGTTATGACTTAATGCTAGAGAAAAGTAATTTGCTTGGACTAGAGAAGTTCCTCTCTCTTCCTGAGGTGAGCACTTTGTAACCTTTCCTCCCTCTGCTGCAGGTCTCACCTTCTCCCAAGCCGCCTGGCTCCCTGCCCCCACTGCCACTGTATGACCAGCCTCCCAGCAGCCCTTACCCCAGCCCCGATAAGAGGAGCTCCCAGTACTTCCCGCGTTCTCCTTCAGCAAATGGTAAGGGCCCTCCTAGGCTTTGGTCTAAATACATTTTTATTCAGAAATCCACATATTCACCTGTACAGCAAACAGATGTGCATTAGCGTTTTCATTGTTCAACAACACAAATCAAATGAACTTCTTTGGTTCCTTTTCTCTCTCTTAGAAAACAGCTTCCATGTGGACTCGCCAGGATTGTCACAGGCAACAAGGCACACTCCTGAGACCTCGTATGGCAAACTACGACCTGTAAGTCTCATTTGGCAGGATCATACAGTACCTGATTGTTTAAAATTGGAAGTTAGAAATTAATGTTTCTCCATGGCTCTTATGTTGTTAGTAATCCCCCCACCCCATACAAGCATGAGAGGGGTTCAGAAGGTAAAAAGTTATTAAAAAGGAAGGCTATGAAAATTGACATGTATATATCAGTTATACCTCAATTTAAAACTTAAATAAATATTGAAAGTTCTAGTTTACACTGGAACTTTCCTTGCTGAGCCATGGTAAAATTGCATGATGATGGCTATAATAAGCTCTGTGAGCATTGATGTGGCCTAACTGCAAAACAGAAGTATGTTTTTGTTAGCAGGCATTATTTTTCCCTTTGAAAAATAGTACTCTTGAGGTGAAATAATAAGACACACTCCATGCTCTTTTGAGACTTAAGAACTACTGTTTTCAAAGAGAATTTTTTCTTACAGATAATCAGCTCAGAAGACTTTCAGGGATCATTTCTATAGTTCATTACAAACAATCAGCTCTATTCACCCCTCAGTTCACTGCCACATATCCACCCACCCCTGTCAGTTCCCAAACCTTTCCTGTGCTAATCCAATGCATACTTTGCAATTTTGTTTTTCTTGACCTGTGTATCAGTATTTAACACCAGTCTTTGAACATGATTCTACTTCCTTTGGCTTCATTTAGCAGATATGTATTAAGTACCTTGCTAAGTTTAAGGACTTGGTTCTTTATCTTAAATATGATAGGAAGGGCCTTGATAAGATTGTAAGCAGAACAGTGATATGACCAGTTTTGCATTTTTGAAACTGCATGGCAGCCAATGAAGAATGAATGGTGGCAGAATGGACATACAAGCCATTAGGAGGCCACAGCAGTGGCTCAAACAAGAAGGGGACGTAGCCTGGTAAGAGTGGGAGCACAGAGAAGTGCACCAGTGTGTTCCACCACTCTTTCTTGGTTTACCGTCTACCTTCCTGGCCCTTAATTTCTCATTATCTTGTCTCTATCCAGTCCCTCCTGTTGCTTTCAGAGTTCTATCCCTGAGGTGTTTCTCTTGAAGTCATTGAACGCACTCTCTTTGTGTAATCTCATTACTCCCACAATGTTAAGAAACATTTATTTACTAACCACTCCCAAATATGTTACTTCCAACCAGTCTCTTCCATGAGCTCCAGACTTAGAGATCCCTCAGTGTACAGATACCAAATCCCCCAAAACTTAGCCAAAATGAGTGAATTATCTTCCCTTCCAAGTATGCTCCTTCTCCAGCTTTGCCTTTCTTGGTGGGTGACCCTTCATCCCACCAGTATTCTGGTATCACTCTTGATACCTCTCTGGCCCTACTTCCCACAAATAACCACCACCAAATCTAGCCCAGTTTACCTCGGAGGGAGCTGTCAAATCTCTCTATTTCTCTACTCCCTTGCTAAATGAGCACCTGTTCAAGTTAACATTAATTCTTGCTCAAGTGGCAACGAAACTGCCCTAAATGGTCATTTTACTTGTACTTTTGCCCACTTCCACTCTTCTTCAAACTGTCAACTGAGTCATCTTTTCACAATTCTGATACTGCTGTTTAAAATCCACCGAAATCTCCACTTTGCCTACAGAATAAAGCTCGGCTTTCTTCACATGGCTTAGCAAGGCCTTTCTCTGCTGAACCCCAGCCTACCTCTGAAGCCATGTATCTTGCAAGTCTCCTTCCAAGACATGCTGAAAGGTTTTCAGTTCTTCAAGCACTGCTCTCATGCTTCCAACTCCAAGCATTTGCTTTAAATAATACTTTTAGAGATATAGGACCCTTGTGCCCATGAGGCTTCCAGTTCAGGCAAGACCTGATTTATGAGTTTTGCATTTCATCTCAAACATTAACTCCTTCTCAGTGAGGGAAGTAGTGAAAATTAGGTTGAAAGGACATGCTCAGAACACTTCAGGAGCACTGGTGTCATTCAATACATAAATGTTTGGGCTTGGATACTTTCGGCATAGGCTCAGAAGTTGACTGATAATCCATGTAATTGTTTCCTGCAAAGGTCCGAGCAGCTCCTCCTCCACCTACACAGAATCACCGAAGGTCAGCCGAGAAGATTGAAGATGTGGAAATCACACTGGTGTGATGACAGCCTTGCCTGTGTATTAGTACTACAATCAAGGCCAGGCTCGGAGTTTGGTCAGTCTTGTGTTTTAGGCACCTTTGCATGAGGATGACTCTTGAACAGAGCAAAAACATGGAGGATTATATGTGACTGGGTGGCCTGGTGGACTCCTCCCACATTTTGAATATTTTGTGCCTTTTTTTGTTGTCATTTTCTATGTCATCTCTCCTACCATAGCACAAATCCTAGTGGACCCTGGAAGCAAAGAAGGGGACATGCCTAACAGTGGTCCACGTTTGTATGAGACTCAAGACCAGGCCTGTTCAGGACACAGTCACAGAGACTGATCATGTGCACTCGTACAGTATATTACTGTGGCCACAGGACGTGGCAGAGATTCTCAGCTTTCTTCAAGTGACTTTTGCTCATCTAATTGAGTTGAATCAGATCACGTTGGCTACATAAAGCAGCAGATAGAGGGATTTCAGGTGAGGCTGGCTCCTCCCCACAGTTAGTCCCCAGACTGAGAAAGTGAAATCTTATTCATAAAAAAGTGGACTGCCCTGACTTTAGCGCCAATTGCATTAATACATCTCTCTTCCACAACTAACAGATTTAAAACAGTAACAGTGTCCTTTGTATTAATATTTATGCCATTCATTTAGAATTAGTGGAGCTAATATGGAGGGGCTGAACTAGAAGCCAAATCTTGTCCATCATATAGACTAGTAGAAAGGAGGCTTATGGCTGCAGCAGAAATGGAGCTTCCAAGTCTGATATGAGCCAGTTTAATGTTCTTTTTGTATTTGGGTATTTTTCATCTTAATTTTTGCAGCATATACTCTTCTGACTGGTATCCTTAGAATTTGAATGTCTATACATTGAGGACACACTTGCATTGTGCTGAGCTTCTCTACTGGGAAGCTCCTAGTATTTTATTAGCATTATTTTATTCCCAAGCCAGTGCACTGGCCCCAAGAGCCAGGTTATGGCAGGTACAGACCAGCAGCTATCCTACCATGAAAAAACGCAGCTTCCCAGACCCCAGTAACCTGACATCTCCTTGGAAGAACCTGTGGTGTATGAAGAAAACCAGCCTGTATGAAAAAGAAGTTGCTCAAGTGCAAACTGATGAAGGACATCAAGTTCTCCATGTCACGAGAGCCAGTAGGAGCTCTGTCCACAGCTAGCAGCTGGGGTTCCAAAGTGGGGCTCTGTCAGCTCTCCGCCTATAGGGCACACCTGACCTAGGAACTAGGGAATATCTGCCATTGCTTATCTTCTTAAGAAATCAAATTTACGTAAGTTCATCAAAAGTTGTATTATGCTTTGAAAATTCCATCCCTCCTAAGAATCGCCAAATGTCCCTGTGGGATTTCTGACCAAAAGGAAGGTCACAGTTGAAGAAATTTTCAGTTAGTCATTTGATCACTTCAGTGACAACCACCATTGATGAATCTTCTCCATAATTTGGGGTTTTTTGTTTTGTTTCGCATTTCTTAACCTGTTGATCTATTTGAGGTCTTTTGTGTTTATCAAACTTATTCTTAAGTTTAAAAAAGAAATAGGGTGGTTTATTTTTAAGATTTTCAAGTTTGCCAGCATGATAAAAATCTTTAAAGCATTTTACCAGTTTTCAAAGTGCTAATTAAATCAGGCATTTCTTGCCACCCAGTCTTGTATTCTCTAGCCAGCCAAATTGTCCTTGAATCTGGGTTTTTCACGTTCTCAGAAGGTTATTTGAAATCTTTTGTTATATTTTAAAATATTTTTTGGAAGAGCTGCTAATTTTATTTTAAAAAAGTAAACAAAGTTGTAAAAATATGCCTCCTTTTTAAAAAGAATCCCTCCCTCCAGGACATGTAATCCAGCATCACAGTGCACAGTGCCAGGCTCACAGGGAGCAGCTCTGTGCAGATGTGCTTTCTTTACAGTGGCTGTAAAAAGTTTGTATTTATTATGTATAAAATGTTGAATAATAAAAAAATGGAATTAAGTTTTCTAAGTTTTCTTTTTAAAGTTTTGGGTAAACACTCTTCCAAATAGAGAACGCTTCCTATAAAGACACCTCTCGGCCCTTCTTTAAACCATTCAGCAGATACAGAGCAGGGAATAAACTAATCCATTCATGGGACAGTTTCTGATGCCTTCTGATGCCATCCACCTGTGTGTGCTATGTGCGGATGCCAGAAATAATGGTCTTTGCTTTCAAGGTTTTCCCAATGGGCAGGGGGTGGGGGGGAGGGGAATCGTACACATCATGTCAAGCTGCAGCTTTAACGCACTTCACCTGGGTCCCTTTCCTCTGACCCTCTACTCCCACCCACAAACTAGACAGATGCTAAGGGGGGATGATGTCCTCTGGCATTAGCCCTGCCACCACTTGATAGATGACCTTCTCTCCAGGCTGTCCTGTCTCCAGCTTTAAAAGGAATGGAAAGGAATGGTTTTCCAAGACTTACCAACTCATATTCTAGGTAAGTTAATCTGCTAGATGCAGAGTGAGAACATGCCCCTAAAGCGTCACAATATTTGAAAACAAACTTATCAGCACACAGGTACTCCTCAGCTGGCCAGAAATTATAAAGAAAATTCAAGCTACTGGACTCTTCTGGGGCAAAGCAAACCCTCCTCCCTGTGCTATGATCAGACTCCAGGTTGTGCTGTTCTGTTCACTCACTGCTCCAGAACTGTGGCTTTGGTTTTGGGGCCAGTTACTACTTAGCCCTCTCTGGGTGATCTTATGATAAAATCTGACTGTTCTGAATTTGCATTTGTTTATTATGAGGTGGCTTTTTGCAAAAATACAACCAAATCACAGCAATTTTAGCTGAGAAGAGAGAAATTGTTATTTTTCCCAGAATCTTGCTATTTGACACAAGCAGTGTAACTTTCCTCCTAGACTCCCCTTGTTTTTGGTTCATTACTGCTTGCTCTGCCAAGAATCCTGTGAATGCCAAAGAGCATCTTGTTCCTGGACCATTATACCCTGGTTCCACTGGCCAAAAACAAATGTAGTACTTCTGTCATGTCTGAGAGCTCAAGCCTGGGAATATTTTCCTGGAATGTTACCCTGAAACATAACTAACCCACAAATAGGGCTGACAACACTTCTACACTGTGTACTAAACACCTCAGTGTCCCTATTCTAGTCATGCATTTACTCATCTGAATGTCAGGGAATGATCATAGTCCTGACCTCAAGTCTCTGGGCAGTTAGCTATGACCTGAGGTTTGTCGCTTTTTCCTCTCTAGACCTTGCTTTCCTCATCTGTTAAGTGGGAATAAGAAGGCAATATACACATCCTGTGAGCCAAGAGGATCAGGTATGAAAATGAACAGATAAGCTGAATTTACTTTTGACTAGTGGACGTGTGCCTGGAAAGAAAACAGCCTACACCCAGCATGGTACGTCTGAATCACATAGGTAGGCTCACAGGTACCCCTGAGCTCCTTTAGGACAAGGACACTGTATTCACTTGTTCTTTTTCCAGTCAGCAAACTTATTGCCCAGCCCATGTTCTGGGCACTAGGGAACAGGTCACTGAGGCCTGACCTCCGAAGGGCTCACACCTGGAGAGGGAAGGGGAGATGTGGGAATAGCGTCCAAACCACATTGCATCTGTCAGGAGTGGGAAAAGACTAAGGAGCAGTTGAAGCCAGTACAAGGACTCTTCCAGGAGTCAAGACCTTTCTCCCATTGCCGTAGGCTCAGGAAGGCCCAAGATTGGTCAAAGCAGAGGTGGCCATACTCAAACCACAGAACAGCAGCAAGGAAGAACAGTGTTACTTTTGGTGAAGCCAGAGCCTTGGGAAGAGGAAAAGTATCACAGGTTGTGTAACTCCTTCCCCTGAAGACATTTGGCCAAGGTCTCTAAGAAACAACTGGGCCTCCAGGAAGCCAGGCTAGCCTCTCGATGTCGAAACTGAGTCCAGTTTATTAAAAAAGGGAGTTAGAGGCTTGAGTTTTTATCCCAGCTCTGCTGTGTGACCCTATGCAAGGCCCTGACCCCCTCTGGGCTTCAGTCTATGTACACAGCAATGGCAAAGACTGTTCCAGTTTTGGCACTAGGGACAAACTCAGGCAGGCAGCCTACCCAAGTTTTTGCACACTGAAAGCCTAAAGAGTACTGAGGACTAAAAGTCTGAATTCTCAGTCCTGAGAGCTTGGAGAAGTTTTTCAGTAGCAGGGCTCTTCCCTGCTGTCTGCTGAAGAAGGCACAAGGAGTATAGGTGGATGCAGCTTCCAGCTGGCATCTTCTCAGCCTTTGTCACCCCCTCTTCCTCCATGCCTGCCTCATTCCCAAATGTCTTGGCATGGCTAGTCTTCTGAACTTTTTTCTCCAGGAAGCCCTCCCTCCAAGCAAGTTAAGGTGTGCATGTGCTCCCTGAGGTGAGACAATTACACCCACACTGAACTTTCAGATTTGCCCCGTGGAGAAAGAAGGATTAAAGGAACAGAGGGACTGCTGTCCAGAGTTAAATCATTGCCTGGACACCTTCTATGTGTTACTAAGCAGCCTTCACTAGAGTTCTCTGTTGTACTTTCCCCCAAATGGAATAGCTGGTAATAGCACACCAGGATTTATGTTCACCTCCCCACTGTGGCCCTGCATGCTCATTTTAAGGGGCACTAACCCTCCAGGCTCAGACCTAGGAGCCCAGGGTCCAGAATGGAAGAGAGAAGCATGGAGGGATTTAGATTTGACCCGAAGCGAGAAACACCACCACTGGGGTGGGGGAGAGGGAGAGGCAGCAGTAAAATACAGTCACAATCCAGCTGTGTGACCTACCATTTAAGCTCTCTGAGCCTCAGTTTTCTCATCTGTGAAGTAAATACCTATGTATGGTGGTTGGAAGGAACAAGTGAGAAGCTGCATGAAAAGCACAGGGTCTGACACATACGCACTCAGAAATGGTGGCAGCCAGGGCTTTCCAGCCTGGGCTCCCAGGAGGCTGAGGAAATTGCCTGGGCAGACACTAGGTCGCTGGCGACTCCTGGTGGCCAGTGGATGAGCCAGGGTATGAAGGTGGCTCCCTCAGGAAAAGACTTCCAAGTCTTAGATTTGAAGGACACTAGACTCCTGAACCCTTGGGTATGGAAATTTAGCATTTTGATAAGCCTTTTATAAGCTTTTTTCTGTACCAAACCTGATTCCAGGGGATATTCTTTTCCCATCAAAAGCTCTTCCAAGAGCTCCCAGACTAAAATTGGAAGGTAGACATAAAACAAGAACCAGGTGCTCGCTAGCCAGCATGGCACGGAGGGAAGGGCTCCCAGTGAGGGGAGACTGAAGAACATATTTGAATGGGGGTTGGGGGGGGGCTAAGGGAAGAATATCCTAGATGGAAAGAGTACCACTTATAAGATACATTCAGAATAGCCAAAAAGTGGAAATGCAGCTGAAGACTGCAGGGTCACATCCTGAGTGCTTCAAATTTCATGCCAAGGAGTTTCTCTGCAAAGAGCAGGAGGATATTCAAGAGTTGTTTACAAAAATGTGACACCTTAGAAAGTCACTCTGACCATGGGCTGAGTGAGGAGAGACCGTTTAGGATGCAGGGCAGGGCAGCCCCAGGCATTACATCATGGAAGGTGCCCAGGACATGGCAGAGTATGTTTTTAGCGCTCAGGACAGTGAGTAATCTGGGAGTGGGCAGAGTACAGACCTGGGTACTAACAGCCCCGGCATTAATGCACTGAATTCTTACAATGGATACTACTATTATCCCATTTTACAGGAAAGGACATCGTCCACTTGCTCAAAATTACTCTGCTACTATATAGTGGGACTGATGCACACCTGAACCATCTGGTTATAGACCAGGTTCCAAACACTCTACCTATCCTAGGAATGATTTTCCAAAAGCCCTGTGACTATGAAGATCCCCAAGGAAGATCACTATAAAGTGGTAAAGAAGAAAGGTGCGAGTCCCAGAGTAAAGCCGTTGAATCTCAGCTGAGGTGAGCCCCATGAGGTCAGAGACAGAGGTGCCCTCTGCTGCCTGGTGAATGGCCCAGGTCCTCATGCTGACCATTCCCCAAGCCTACATGCTGAAGGAAGTAGAGGGTCCAGTTTCCACCCTGTCAGGCCTGCCTCATACCCCAGTTTGTAGATTAAATTTGGTGCCCTTTGAAGTGAATTCCAGGACCAGTCCACAGCTGCCCTCCACAATGCAGACACACACAGGCCGCTCCCACCCCTCCACACTCCACGTCTGGAGCTTGCATGACCCCAGTCGATAAGCAGCCTGGTATGCCAAGCACTTGACATCGCTCTCTGGCTCATTAGAACCTTTTCCACAGGATCTTCTTGGGCTACATCCACTTTAACCTCCTCGGAATTTCCAGGGCCTCCCTCAGCCTCAGTCTATGTCGGCTGTGAAGTAGGAAGGTCCAAGATGTTGGTTTGGCCTCAAGACCCAATCGGACCCCATGGCTTCCAGAGCTGCTGCCCTTTGCTGCCTCCAGGTCTTTATTCAGCCGCCTCCAGTGCCTGTGAAGAGCACACAGGCTTGGCCACTTCTTCTCCTGTTGTGTAGGAGGAAAGGGGGCCAAACCCAACCCAGATCTCTCAGACCATCATCCCCAAAGCCTCTCTAATCCCTGCATGCTGCAAAGAGGAAAGCAGACACCAATTCAGTTGCAATTTTTTTCCCACTTTGGGGAAAGTGAGGAGACAGAAATAGAAAAAAAAACAAAACAATACTTGGTTTTTATACAGACAGGCTAGGTCCTGCCAGGCCTTCTTCCCATTAAATGCCCTGAGGCCACACCTACCCACACTCCCCAGCCTTGGAGCCCTGCAGCCCTGTGGAACATGGTGAAGTTCTCCTCCGGCTTCAGGCTTCAGACTGGAGCTCCAGCCCCAGCAGGGTGAGTCGTGATACTAATGCCAGAGCACAACCTTCCGGGCCTGGTCCACGCTCACCACATGGTTCCCAGTGCAGCACCAGGCCACAGCGTTGATGGCAGTGCTGAGGAAAGATGTAGGCTTCAGCGGGCATCAGGAACTGGCCTGCAGCCTGGCTTTAGTCCCACTAATAGACCTGGGAAGTCCTTTCTTCACCTGCAAAATGGGCTCTTGGGGCTGTGGTTTAGGTGGGACCCAGTGCATAGGGAAGACAACTGGTCAACAGTGAAGGGGTGGGGGGCAGGTGGGGTGAAAGATGTGGGGACAAGGCATGGTGACCTCAAGTACCAAGCCTGTCAGAACCTGGAACCAGTTGAGCAGGACTGGGGAGGGCAGGTGAGCAGATGATGGCAGAGCTCACCAGTGGGGTCCACGAAGGCTACTCTCCAGTCTTCCAGTGTCTACATCCCAGATGTAGAGGGCTCCATCCCCGGAACCTGCCAGTGCATAGTGTCTATCTGGGCTGCAGTAGCCAGAGCAAAAGAGGGAAAATCAGAGGTGAAGAGAGAACACACATACACACACACAGAGTTGGGGCACACTCAGCACTGGCGTGTGCTATACAGACACACCTGAACACAGCTTTAGTCCAGTCAGAACTGCACCTGAAGCCATCAGCCCTGGGGATAGACAGGGTCAAGATCAGAACAGAGGTGGCTGCCAGCCCTGCCCGCAGCCTCAAGGTCTTTGTCTCTCCCTCAAAGGGTTGGGGACCTCAGTAGGGCCTGGTTCACAGGGACTTCCAGAGAAGGCCACCTGCTGACAGGTCCCCGAGAGCCTTCTACAGAGGACAAAAGGTCCACATGCTCCAGTCGAGCCCTAGGTCAGTGGGCACAGGATAGGTACCTGAACACCTGGCGAATATTGCTGACACGCAGGTCAATGACCTTGAGTGTGTTGTCTCGGGAACAGCTGAGCAGATGGAGCTGATCTTGGCTGAGGTTCAGGGAGGTGACCCGGCCCTGCACAGGGATGACCTGGGTGCAGCAAGGCCCCCTGAGGAGCAGGGACAGAGGTGACAACAGCCACGCTACAAGGCTGCTCCTGACAGGTTCACAAACCCAGTGGTGCTGTCTTTGATCTCTGAGGTTGACCCTGACTAAGTTCCCACAGCAGCCTGTCCCTCCAGCAGGAAGCTGGGCAGCCTTTGACTAGAAGTAGAGCCCATGAAACTCTCAGGTCACAAAGGTAAGTATGAGAGGGAAAACAATGAACGTCTGTCTATGTGTGAAAGAGAGAAAAGAGTTTCAAATAGTGGTCACTGCAGACAAGTGAGGAAGACCTGAAACAGCCCTAACATAGTACCAGCAGAGGCTCTTACACACTCAAGTCCCACGTTGGGCTCTGAGATTTAAAAAAAACAACTAAAATTTGGGTCCATTTTAAACCAAAAGTGGTGACTAAATAAAGAAGGAGGATTTTCTATGTGGATGGGCAGGCCACACAGGCCAGTGATAGGACTGAGATCCACTAAGAAGGTGCCATAGCTCCCTGGGAGCAGCTGAGCCTTCCAGGAGTGACAGTACCGGAGGCCACCAGCTGGCAGTGCCAGCACCCTGGTCTCATTTAGGTGGGGTCCCCTCACCTATCATGGCCAGAAAAAGGAAAAAGGAAATATGGGAGCTGCATCCCCACACCTCCACCACCCCACCCACAGCCCAGACCTGTTACCTGCTATCCCAAAAGCGAATCTTCTGGTCATTGTGGCCACTAATGATGACATGGTCTCCACACACCACATCATTACAGTAGGAAAGGACATTGATAGTCCTAGAGCCTGAGGACCAAGGAGCAGATGACCTCAGAGAAGGGTTGTTGGGAGCCAACTTAAAGGACATCTGGTGAAGCTGATGCCCAGGAAGCATGCAGGGGCAGTGTCCCCCACTCCCCCCCAGACTAAAGCACATATCCCCTATTTTCTAGTTCAAAGCCTCAGGTCACTAAGAAACGAGGTAGAAGACATCAATGAGGAACAAAAGAGAGGGTCTCAGAGTCACTTCCAGAGAGCAAGCTGAGGTCCCTTATGGTCTAGCCCAGGGTCTCCAGTGGGTGGGAAGGAGGGGTAAGGTCTGGGCCTCACAGTAGGCGCGGCCAAGGTCCCACTCTTTCACCGTCCGATCTCGGCTCCCAGTCACCGCCTGGTGCCTTGTTAACTTGAATTTGGCAGCCGTCACCTTGTCTGTGTGTCCAGATAGTGTCTCCTGCCCCCAACCCAGGTACAGATCAAGGACATCTCCAGCAGCCCATAACAGCCTCCCCCGACCCAACACGTGACCCCAGACTCCCAGAGGACCTCCCCAGTCAGGTCTCACCTTAGGCTGGGCCTCCCCCACTTTCCACAGTTGGGCAGCCTGATTGTAAGTAGCTGCCAATACCTGGGAGCCCTGGAGAGATAGGAGTGGAAGAACGAGATTGTGGATCTGGCCCAGCCAGAAACAACATCCCTCAGGGAAATGGGGCAGGGGCTGCCCTGGAGCTTCACGGCTCAGGCCACCCAGGCAGGCCTAAGAGTCTCAGAGTTCAGAGAGGAGTGTTTGTGTCGGAGCCCAAGAGCCTGGCTCCAGCACACCCATTAAGTTCCCTCGGGTCCAGAGCCCCCACTGGCCCAGAGAAGAGACTGAGAGGAAAGGTATCCCATGCCACTGGGGCAGAGTCCCCTCACTGAAGGGTCGAAGTCCACACTGGTGATGCTGCCAGCAGCTCCTTCGAGGGTCTGGTTAGCCTCCAGGCGACCTGGTGGAGGAGGGGGGAATCAAAGGAAGACACAGGTGAAATGAGATCACTAACCTCATGATAAGGAGGGGCTGGGACTGGGGATAGGAAGATCAGTCTCTCTCAAGTCAGAGAGAATTTCTGGGTCTGGTATGCTGCAACTCCCAGAACTTCCAGCAGGGGACCCCAAAGGACAGAGAGAGGACCAGAGAAAACGGATACACACTAGGTCACACAGCAAGCCATGGCCAGGCCAGCTGGAGACTCATCTCTAGGAGGCCTCCAGGAGCCAACGCTGACTCCATACATGCCCCCTCTATATAGCACAAGGCAGACAGCTAACATTTGTCTCCTAACGTCCACTGAGTTCTGATCGCTCCAGTGATACTACAATTGGAGATGGTCTAATGATCCCAGTGACCTAATCAAATACCTATCCCTACAGAACCTCACAATAGGGGACCCACACTATAGGATCCCCAGCTTCCCCCAAATGGTACTATCTGAGCTCAATCCTCCCCATGCTGCAGGTCTGGACCCTAGGAGCTGGAGGCTCCGTCCTTCAGAGCAGTGTGCCCAGAAATCATGAAGGGGTCAGCTGGCCACAAGAGCATTCCAGGTGATGAAACACAAACACGGGAGCTCTTCCCACTAAGGAGCAAACCAAAGGTGGGTCTGGGGCAAAAGGAGTGGGCTGGCCTGTAGGGGGGAGAGCCTCACCACCCACAACATTCCAGAGATGGATGAGGCAGTCAGCTCCTCCAGTGGCCAGGAGGCTGCTGTTGGGGCCAAAACAGACAGCATTGACCTCGGAGAGGTGGGCATCCTGTGGCGGGAGGGTGGGAAAGGAGGTTGGTTTCCTGGTACTTGCCTCCCCCTGCCCCCCACACACACACACCCAAACCCCTTTGAATATATTCACAGGCTCTTACACACACCTGTGCACACCCTGGGTCTCTACCCAAACCCTGACTTTCAAACCTGTCTGTACCCGTCACCACCTCTGCCTGAACCCTGCCACAGCCTCCCCCTATGCTCCCCCACACTATCCTGCCTGGTCTCCCAGCCTCCCATCTCTACCTCAGTCCATCCACCCATTATAAAATGCTGAGTGGCTCCACAAGGCTGCTGAGGAGCCAGCCCTGTTTCCCAGGATTCCCTGGACCACCCTGGGGCCTGCCTCCCCAGGAACCCGCCCATGCATGTGGCCCAGCTCCTGTCTTACCAGCACATCCTGGGCCCAAGTGGGAAGCCGGGCAGCCACACACACAGGAATGCTCTGGTATCGTTGCTCGGGGGCTCCGCCAATGGAGTGGCCTCGCCTCTTCTTGAAACTGGGATAGGTTAAAGCAGGGCATTCAACAAGGACGTCTAACCTGGGAGCCCGAAGCTCCCCTGATGCAGACATGAAGCAGACAAGGCAGGCAGCAGAACACAGCCCAGAGGAGCAGCAAGTGTGGCCCCAGCCCAGTTTCTGGCCCAACAAGCTACATGGAAATGGGAGGGGCACTGAGACAGGACAAGGGTAGACTATCCACAGGAAACTCAGGATTTCAACCCTGGGGTTTCAATCCTGGTCTTGCTATAACTTGGTGTGACCCTGAATAACTTCCTAATGCTTCTGAGTCTTTTTCCCAACTGACTGGTAGTTGCTGTCCAGCCTGAGGCTGGAGTTTTCAGTCCCCTTTAAGGATCTTAGATAACAGCCTGAGAGCCAGCCACACAGGGGCTGGGAAGGAGGTCACGTAACTAGCTCTTGCCTCGAAAACTCAGCAGAGACTTCCACACAGCCAGCTGGATGGCATATAGATGGACAGAAGCTCACACAGAGACCCATCCTGGGTCCCTGGGGACCTGACACAGAGCTTCACACACAGAAGGGGTACACACACACTTACTCTAGAAGCCCCTTCACCACATCCACACAGCGGGACAGCGTCAGGGAGGTGGCAGAGGCAGACCTGGGGCAGAATCAGAAGATGTGCTACGGCACTGGCCATAGTGCAGCACGGTGGAGGTGCAGAGAGCAGTCACTCTCCAATACACTCTGTACCAGGGACTCTGAGGCTCAAAGCCTCAAGTTCCACACAAGAACTTGGTTCCTTCAAGACAAGGAGAGTAGGATGATCCAGAGCGACCCAGAGTGGCACAAGAGATTTGGCAGTGAAATCTCCCTGTTTCCACCATGATGGTAAAAGCTACCTCACCACCAGCGTCTCCCCCACTAAAACTGCTGGAAGGCTTGGCCAGGGCCTGTAGGAGGAGAGGGGAAAATGTGGCCCCCCGCACACAAGGCTGGAGCAACGGCATGAGAAAACCTATACGTGCAGAATGACCTCAAAAATGCTCACATGTCCTGGGATGCCTTGACTCACTGGGACAGCCATGACCTTTGGGGACCAGCCATCTGGTACCTCTCTTCTAAGGTCCCTTCACTGGACACCAGCAACTTACTAGGAAAGGCTGAAGAGACAAGCCTTCCAGTACGTGTGCACTCTGCTACGTGATGGAAAGGGGCATCCTTACTGCCAAGCAAATCAATAACTGGGAAAGATCAAGGAGAAGGGTCCCCAAAAACTGGAGGTCCAATCAAGTACCACCCATGTGAGTTCACCTCTACACATGCTTTTACATATTCACATTCACTCAGCCAACCCAGGTGTACAGAAATGTATTCTCACGGCCCTGTGTTGTGTGCGTAGCTTGCTCATCTGTATACACACACCCATGCCTGAACAGCTGAGCCCTGGGCCTTGCCTACATTTCCAGCTCCGTGACTGCCCTTCACCAGTCTGACAGCCTACCCCTGGAGTTCTGGTGCAGGGAAGAAAAAGGTGAGGGCAAAGATTGGGGTCCCAGAGCTGGCACTAACCCCAAATAGTTCTAAGCATTGGTTATAAGAGCTGTACTGGGTAGGTCTGAGCTGTGTTGTGTATCCCAGTGTTTCCCAAGGTCCCTCATAAGCCAAGAACTGGCCCCAAGATCCTAAAGGAAGACTCCCCAGGGGGGGCACAGCTCTGAGCTTTGGGACAGCGCTCACCTAAAGGACCTTGACCACTTTCCTCCAGCTTCAACCTCCTGGGTCACTGGTTCAGCAGCAAGGACCTCAGCCTCTCTCCCCTCCTTGATCCCACCGCCTAGGGTGTCTGCACTCCTGGGAGAGAAAGTCCCTCAGGAAGGCCTGGGGACCAGCACAGCGCCCCAACCCCACACCTGCGTATCTCCCCTCCCCCTGCTCCAGCACCCAGGGCCCTATTCTGTGGGCTCCGCCTTAGGAGGCCTTGGGACAGTGCAGAGTGGAGTTAGGCACACAGGTGGCCCGGGCAGGTGCAAGTGGGCAGCGGGTAGAACCCTAAAGAGGGTGCTTCAAGGCATTTGGGCAAACTCGGTAGCGGAGACTCGCTGGGCCGCCCACTCTTACTCGCTGATGCTCACTGTCCGCTTGGCAGCCTTCTTCAGCTCCTCGGACACCCGCACCTGCGTGGCCCTGGGGGACAGGAGTACCCAGTCGGTAGGAAGCGGCACCAGAACCGCAGGGAGGGCCTGGGTCGCCCGGGTTGGGGGGCGCGGGAGGTGGGGGGAGACCTATCCCGTCTCGGAGATGTGCTGGGCGCCAGGTGCCGGAGAGGTAGCCCCGCTTGTCAGGGCGCGACCACAAGCCATCCCGAGGGGCACCCTGGCCTCACCTCTCGCGACGCTCGTTGCGCAGGTTGCGCTCGGCCGCGGCGCGAGCCTTGCGCTGCACGAGCCTCTCCAGCAGGTCTCGGGCCTCCTCCTGGAGCCTGCGCAGTGCGGCCTCCCGGAGCGCGGCGCGCGCGCGCAGCTCCTCGTAGGCCGCCCGCTGCGCAGCGTTGCTGGCCTGCTGCGCCGCCACCTGCTCCTCTTGCTGCGCCCGCGCTTCCTGCAGATGCGCCACGCGGGCCTCCAGGGCCGCCAGGCTGGAGGAGGGGGGAGCCCCTGTCACCACCCGGCGGCAACCGGTAGCAGAACTGGAACGGGCTTGTCCGCGGCTTTGCGGCCAGGCAGGATCTCTAAGACCAGCCGTGTGGGAAAGCAGCGACCCGGCTGAAAATCACCCCCTCGGCCCTCCGTGCCCCAGACATGACCTGGAACCTCACCTGCTTTGCCGCTCCTCCAGCACCGATTCCAGGGCAGCCAGGGCTGAGCTTTTCTCCACCACCTGGTAGGCCATCTGGGGGTGGTCAGGGGCCGGACAGGTGGGCATGGGCGCCTCCCTAGGGCTCACAGCGCACCGCCAGCCCCTCTGAGCAGAGCTGATGGGGCAGGGTCTGCCACGCCACCCACCCCCTCCACTCAGAGAAGAGCTGAGTTTCACACAGGTTTCAAATCTTGCCTGGAGAAATGCTTGATCTGAAATCTAAGACCCGAGTTTCGAGCCCAGCGGGGCCATTTTTTTTCTGTGATCTGGGATGTCATTTAACCTCTACTTTCTCACCTATAAATGGGAGTGATAGTGCTCACCTCACAGAATGATACAAATTTATCGGGAGGAATCGTTTTTCCAGTAATCGCAAAGGTCTATGTCACGCTTGCGATTCAACCTTGTTCTGAACACTGCATGTGGTAACTTTTTGAAATCCCCCCCAAAACACCATGAGATAGGTACAGCTGTCTTCTCTTATTTTACACTTTCTCACGTGGGCCTGGTGAGGGGCAGATGAAGAACACTGGAGAAGACCTGAAGTGTCTTGCCCGAAGTCAGTTTCAGCAGTGCTGACATTTGAGCCTAGGCCACCAGCTAACATTGTGCCCCAAGGGAGGGGGAGAGTAAAGGTACAGTATGCATCAAGTAAAGAGCTACAAGAAGAGTTCGAGGAATGTGGGTTCTGTTCCCTGTCTCCCCAAGCACCCGTCCCAGCACGCAACAAAGAACCCCGCACAGGCACACAGGCATAGATTGTGGGAGCAGAACTCAGACTGAATACTGGAACTGACCCCAGGCCAAGAATGGGGTGAAGGGCCTCTTATCCATACCACAGCCTCACTCAGCAGACCTTCAACCAAGAGTCGAGAGCTGGGGAAGCCACAGAGATGAAGTCTAAGTCACACTTTTTGGAGTTCAGGGGTTCCTGGGAGGGACAGACCCCAGCAAACCAGTTCCTATCACGGTGGCGAGAGGAACACGAGGAAATAACCAAGCCTAGGGACTCTTGTGGCTAACCTGTTCCTGTGATCTTTCCCATGTGAGCCTGGTGAGGGGCAGATCGAGGGTCCCTGTGGGGGCCAGCCTGGGGAGGGACCGCACCCCCAGGGCAGGGAGTTTGCTTCCATAGCTGGCCAACTGTAACCTTAGTAATTTCTTCCAACACAAGCAGTCAGACCACCCGCTTCTACTTCCTCACCTGTCATTTACCTTCTTGATGTTTTGTTATTGAATGTTGTATTTGATGCTGTTTGAAATTCAAATTATATAAAGAGAAAACAGAACAGTGGTTGCCAGAAGCTAAGGGCGGTTGGAGGAAGAGGAATGATTTTTAACAAGAAAGGGATAGCAAGAGGAATATCTTTGTGGTGAGGAAATACTGCTGTCTTAATGGTCACACACATCTACACATAAGACAAAATGACAAAGGAGTACATACGTATTTTATAACAATATCACTTCACTTGTTTATGTAAGATGCAAATGAGATGGGCAGAACTGGGTGAACGGTGCACAGGACCTCTGTGTACTGTCTCTGCAACTTCCTGTGAGTCTCTAATTATTTTTAAATAAAAGGTCAAAATAATAATAATAATGATACATGCTTATTGTGCTATGTGGAAAAGTATTGATTAAAGTCACTTCTCATCCACTGACATCCAGTGAGAACTGGCTGGTGAAGTGACAGGGAGTGCTGAGGGAAGGGTACAGACAAATTCCCAGGCAAAGTGGTCTTTGCACTTAGAGTCAAGAGTGTGGCAGGAAGTGAACCAGAGCCTGAGAACTGGGCAGCCAGGCTCATAGCATCTCATTGGGGGATGCACCCCAAACTGATGTGGGGAGTGATGATGAAAGGGGCTTTAATTTTTTTTTTTTTTTACTGCGTGGGCTTCTGTTCTCCTGAAATCTTCACAGCAAGGATGTATTTGTAGATTGCTTATCTTTTCTTAGTGGAAGTCTTTTTTATTATTAAAACTTATCACTCTGAGTGCTGTGCAGAAAATGGATGGAGGTGTCAAGGGATGAGTCATCTAGAGAAAAAATGAGGGTAACTTGAACCAGGCCAGTTATGGTATAAGAAACAGAAAAGTTGATGGATCTTATACCAGATGTGGTATAAGACACAAAGAAGCTGAGGATAGACGGCTGGGAACATCACAGGTGACCCTCCCCGGGTTTCTAGCCCAGTGACTACCAATGGAGAGAGCCCTGTCAACTCCATTCATCAGTCTACAAATAATTATTAAGCCTGGCCTGTGGAGGGAGGTCCCTGGGATACAATGGAGACATGCCATAGGAATCCTAAGCCTTGGGGTGTTAACAGTCCAAAAGGGGGCTCAGATGTTTGAGAATTAAATGCAACTTAAATGTTAACTTGCAGCTACAAGAGACACATTCCAGGAGAGGCTCTCTCTGGGCTTAGAGCATATTCCCACACTAGCTAGGCAGATGATTTTGTATGTTGTTAACTGAGCATGTGTTTATTGGCATATCAGTCTCATCCAGTGAACTAGAAACTCCAAGCGCTAGCGGTGAAACAGGAGCCAGGTCTTGTTTCCTGCTTCATTTCCCTATGCCTTGGATTTATAGATCTATTGTCAAAATTATTTGTTGAAAGGGTAAGTCAGGATCAAGAAAGTAGGGCCTGTAGAAGGGAATTCATATGCTGACTCTGCCTCTCCAAGGCTCTGTTTCCTCCTCTGCAACCATCAAGTTGTGGGAAATGGCTGGAATAATTCTTAGGCCAGTGCTTGCCAGGATCACCTCTTAAGGGAGCTATGTTTTACAGGGGAGATGGTGAGTCTGAGTTTAGAGGTGATAACTAAAAGCAGCAAGAGAGTCTGGAGCTCAGAAGAGAAGGTTGGACTAGAGAGGGTCTGAGAATCAGTGAACACACTCAAGCGCTAGTGGTGAAACAGAAGCCAACAGACACCATGGTGGGGTGTGGGGGGAGACAGCAATGTCAGGTGGAGGTAGTGCATCCTGCCTTGAAAGTGGAAGTTTATTCTTTCCATTTGGAAATGTATGTCGAGCATCAATCTGGGGTCAGTGAGCAGAGCAGGCTAGACCACTGGAAGGGCAAATGGGCTGCTCCCTCCTACTTCCCCCACACTTTCCTGACCTCGCCTCCAGCTGCAGTTAGAGCCCACTTCATCCTGGGCTGCAGAGCCGACCCATAAAGCACCTTGAGCCTGTCCAGACTCAAAGCATTGGGCTTGGGGAAGTCACTGGTGGGCTCCCTTGGGACACATCCTCTGGGAAGTCCTGGATCCTGATCCCACCCCATTTTTCTTAGACCCCAGTCCAGCCTACCTCACCACACACGAGCCGAAGCCTCTCCTCTTCTCCTTGCCACTTTGCCTTCAGAGTGGCTGGTGATAGGACTTGACCTGAGTCAAGCCCCAACTCCTCCCTGCCAACCAATCAGAGTATTACTTGTTCCTCCAGTCTCCCCAGTGCCTCAAGGAACCCAAAGGGTGCACAAGAGAAGTGTGAAACAAGAGCCATAAATTTTCTAACGTTGGAAGTTAGAAAGCCAGTTGAGAGAGCAAGTCTCCTGCCCATGATTCCTCGGCTCTGGCACCCCCCACCTCTCCACGCCCCACACCCAGCCCCTGGGCCATGAGTTCCCAGGTCCAAGCCACTGCTGGTTCTTATTTTCACTCCAGCTTTAGGATAGATTGCAAGACCTTTACTATAGGCATCAGATAAGGAATTGGGAGACAGAGAGGAAGGATAAAGATCGGGTGTGGAAGGGAGGTGATGGGAGAAATGCAGGGATAGACTGAGAAGAGTGAGGGAGAAGGAGCATTCTGAGCAGCTGGACTGGGGGAAGGCCCAAGAGCCCTCCTGCTCCCTCCCCTGGGCTGAGCTGGGGCTGATAAGATGCCAGGGAAATAATGAACCCAGCATAGGCAGTGGGGGCAGGGACCAGATACAGGCAATCCATTGTGACCACGAACACACACACACTCACCCGGGGCCCTGGTGAGTAGTGACATCGCTTGGCTCTGGCTGAAGTTTCTCTGAGACCCTGGTCAGCAGCTCAGCTTTCTCTAGAAGACGATTATCTAGGGGTGCAAGAAAGTGAGCCTGGGGCAAAGTCAGATATTTTTCAAGCAGATTCCTAGCAGAGGAGTTACTCTGGCTGGGAGGGCTGCAGGAGCCTGAGGATGCAGAATGGAGAAGCTGTCTCCAGGCTGGGCCCTGCCGCTTGCAATTCTGGTATAGCTCCACCAGAACTTTCAGCCTTGACACAAGCTGATCACAGCATCAGCCCCCAGACAGGCCCTTCAAGAAGAACTGCTCTCCCAGAAACAAAGGGCAGCCACCACTCCAGAGGGAGATGGCCGCACAGTGGCCAAGGAGGGTCCTGTCAGAAGGAAGGAAGGGGCCAGGGGTTGATTCATCTCTGCCTGGCCACGGAGGATGAAGAAACAAACCAGCTCCACCTGCCTGTGGCCTTTGCCGTATTACTTACCCTCCAAGGATTCTAGCTTTTGGGACTGAAAAATTACCCTGATGTCCCAAAGTCGCTGTTTCTTCCAATCCAGAACAAAAAGTCTCGGAGTTTGACAGAAAGTCTCCAGAAACTCCTAGAGCCTGGTAGTTTCTGCAAAAGACCTTCCCCGTACCCACAGTCACTTCCTCTTTCCATGGTTATTAGCACAGGCCCAGTTCTGCAACCTTACCTAGACCCCTGTCTGCAACCTTGGCTAAGGTCCCTGACCTAGTTCTCACACAAGGGCACTGCAGAGGTACCCCAGCAGATAGAAGGAAGTTGCCATTTTGTGAATTCTCGAGGAGACACGAGGCTTAATGATATGACCTGCCAAACACCATAGAGAGGACTAAACCCTCAACTGTGATTTCAGCCTTGCAGAGTGTCTCTAATCTCAGATTCACAGCAATCCTGGGGGTGACTCCCCCTTCAAAAGGAAATGTTCCATTGCCCATCAGAGTATTGGAAAAGTGAGGTTGCCTGTGGGCAGGAGGTCTGGCCTAACAACCCTACAGGGAGAGAACCAGCAGCCTGGAAAGTTGCAGAGACAACTTTCCTGTCTCCCAGGACCGGAGCTGCAAATGCAGTTGGGGGAAGTGAGGGTAGAAGTGGCCCCCAGGGAGGCTGTGGTTAAACTGAAGCCAAGGTTAGGCCCAGTGACAGAGCTGAAGGGATTCTGGTCAGACTTTCAGCAGACCTAGAATCTCAGCTGATCAAGGGCACTACACACAGATGCTACCTGTCTATTCCCTGCTGGAACTACCTTTTCAGTTTCTGACCAGCTCCCCAGAAACTACTCTAGGAGAATGTGACTCTCCCTGGTGAGGCCAACTCCCAGCGGTAGGCAACCCTAACTAACATCCTGCTTTTTCCTCATGCTGGGCTCACAGGTGCTCTAAAAACTTGAACCAGTATCACCATCAGGCAAAGCCAGAGGCTGCCTTTCCTCCCTGGAGAATTGGGATTTCACTGATTGCCTCGACTGTCCAGAAGGAGCTGCTTCACACAGCCCCATGTTCCTTCCCTGGGCTATGGAGACCAAGTAGACTGACCCAGCCTATTCTGGAGACCGCCTGAAAGGGGGAAACCCAAAACACCCCACAAATCCAACACTCCCAGACAAGAAGGTGCCTAGGAAGCCCAGCTAGCAAGGGGTGGGGCCAGACCCTGAGGGGAAGCAGATGAGAGGCACCAGGAGGGAGCACCTCACTGGCAGCAACTCTAAGCAGAGCCTGGATTGGGAAAGGCAAGTACTGGCTGGACACTGGACCGCGGGTGTAACAGACAAGTGGTCCTGCAGGTCCAAGGCTCTGGAGGCAACAATGTGTTGCTGCACTTAGGTCAAAACCCTGAGAGTCAGGCCCTCCCTGGTAGCTCAGCGGGTTGGAGCTCTGCACTGCCAAGCCAACCCAAGCCGTGGTCACTTCAGTGCGAGATCGATCCCCACCCGGAGCTGACCCACGTGGCGACAGGCCTCTCCTGTCCCTCCCGCTGCTCCCCTCAGCAGTGCACTTTGTCAATCTGCCTGTTCTGCTCCCCTCTCAGACTATGGTGAATCCTCTCATCGCCCCCACCCCCCAGCACCTCTGGCTTGTACCCCAGTTCTGTATGCATGAATAAATAAATCTTTTAAAAAACAATACCCTGAGAACAGAGTCAGACAAACTCTCTCCCCGGCTCCCCAACCCCCATCCGCGACTGTCGGCTAACTTGGGCTCACTCACAGGCCGGCACCAGGTCCAGGAAGAGGGCCTTTTGCGTGCGGTCCCTCTGTCGCAGTTGCCGCACGATGTGGCGTTTCCAGTGGGCGGCTGGGGTGTCGATGGCGTGGGGCACCGCCATGGCCGCCGTCTCCCGCCAGCACCTAGCCAGGCACCCCGCGCTAAGAAGGCGCGGCCCAGGGGGGTGGGGAGGGGGCGGGGTGGCGAGGAGACTCCGTGACGTCTGGGCGGGTGGCGGCGGGGAACCCCCGGCTCGTACCAGCCCTTTCTGGGAGCGGAGAATTGAACGCGCTGCCACGCGGGGGGCTGGGGGAGGGGACAGAAACCGCTCCATGGCTGACGCCACCCAGACCCCACGAAGACTTTTCACCCATGTGGGGTCTCCTATTGCCGTCAGAGGGCTTTAGCCAGGATGGAAGTCGGGGTCTCCGAAACGGCTTCCCCCGCGCCTCTTGGCGCATTCCGCAGGCGGGACCTCCAGGTCGGACAGTCAATAACCTCATGGCTCCCGGAGCAAATTCAGGGGTGACGTGTGCTCGCCCACGCCCGCTCTCCCGGAGAAGAGAGCGGTAAGCTGGGGACCTGGAGCCCGCTCGCACCCGACCCTGCCCTCTGGGCTCCCCGGATCTGTGAGGGGACCGAGAAGTAAGAGAGCACCGAGAAGGGAGGGACTGGAGGGCAGAGGCCCTCTTTCCGGAGAGGTGGCAAATGCCGGATGCAGTAAGAACTGGCCCGGAGAAGATAACATTACAGGTAGCAGCTAAGAACAGGTGCAGAGGTTCAATAACATGAAAATTCCTGTTGGATTTCGGCCTGGAAGGACAGTAGACATGTTTGGGGAGCAAGGGTTAGGGCCCAATTTGTAGCAGAAAAGTTAGGTTTCTGAGAGTGGAGAGTACAGCTGATTTCATTTAGCAAAACTTTGGCCCAAAACAAAAGAGGAGGCTTCTCCGAGGTTGCACAGGCTGGATCCTGGCATCCCAACTGGCAGGGCAACGGTTCACTTTATTAGGTTTCCCTCTGAGGAGCCTCATCTGTTATAGGTATAGGTGGCAGTGAATCATCAGGCCCAGCCTAACCCCGGACACACTGTTCTCTGCAGGCTCCAGCTGGCCCTGCTGTAGATGAGTGAATGCAAACCTGTCTGTCCCCAAGAAATGAGCGAGACTACACCATGTTGGCCACATAAGCCCTGAAGGTGACAACTCTGGTGAGATGGGAATGGGGATAGGTCACAGGACTTGTAAGATAGTAAACTCCATGTACCCTGCCCTGCTTTGAAACTACAAAGCAGTAGCAGTAGGCTCAGTTCTCCACATCATGGTCTTTGACCCCCATTTCCTTTGTACATGTTGTCTGCTGTTTGGAACACCTTCCCCTCTCATCCCTCTGGCTCCTCATGGGTCAGCTCCTCCAGGAAAGCTTCCCTGCCCTTCCACTGAGTTAAGTCTTCTCTGACCTCAGCCCCAGTCCCAGTCTAGCCTGTCTGTTGAATGAGTAAGTTATAGGTGGAACATTCACCAGAGGTGTGCCCCAAGGGCACAGCTGGCTATAGTAATGAATCCCCTATGGCACTGGCTCACTTGCCTAGCTACACGTGAAAGTCTGAAAGTCGCTGGGGCTGTATACCCTGAAAGATGTGCTAATAGGGCTCTGCCAAGCACCAGGGACAGAGGGGAAATTTTTCACAAATTGGAGTTAGGAATTACTAACCCATTTTTTTTGACTCACAGAACACTTGAATATTTTAAAATAATTTGTCATTGTCTGTGAAAAAGAAGTTATTGGTCTTCGTTACAAATATTTATCTTCGATCTTTATTATCTGGCTATTTCATTTTATTTACTGCCAGATTCAGTTCATAATATAAATGGCTGGCCTTGTTTTTGAACCTGTTCTCCCAACCATAACCTTCAAGGAACTGAGCTAGCTCAATAGAGGAGCTACTTACTCAGGCACTCTAGCTCCTAGGATGTGGCTCCTAATCATTCTTACCATGCCGAATGAAAGTGTCAATGGTAGAGGGCCTCTCTGGTGGCTCAAGGGGTTAAGTCTCAGCACTATCAAGCTATTGGCAGCCACTGCAGCCTGAGTTCAACCCCTGGCCAAGGAGCTGACCCACATGGCACAGCACCTCTCCTGTCTCTCCAACTGCTCCCCTTAACAGTGTATTTCAGTAGATCTGTCTGTTCTGCTCCCTACTTTGTCTCTGGTTGAGTCCTCTCACCCACCCCACACCTCTAACCTATACCCCCAGCATCTTGGATGCATAAATAACTCATTGTTCCCTGGTGGCACAATGAGTTAAAGCACAACACTGTGAAGCCAGCTGCAGCTGCTTCAGTGCGAGTTCGATCCCCCACCAGGGAGGTGACCCACATGGCACAGTGGACCTCTCCTGACCCGCCCACTGCTCCCCTCAACAGTGTATTTGTTGATCTGCCTGTTCTGCTCCCCACTCTGTCTCTGGTGAATCCTCTCACCGTCCCTGCACCTCTGGCCAATATCCCAGTTCTATATGCATAAATAAATAAATAAATCCTTTTTTAAAATCTTTTTTTTTTTCAGATTTTTATTTATTTATGCATACAGAACTGGGGTACACACCAGAGTGCAGGGGTGGTGAGAGACAGAGACAGAGTGGGGAGCAGAACGGGCTGACTGACAAAGTACACTGCTGAGAGGAGCAGCGGACGGGCTGGTCAGGAGAGGTCTGCCACGCCATGTGGATCATCTCCTGGGCAGGCAGGGATCGAACTCAAGCTGAAGTGGATTTAGCTTCTTAGTGTTGTGCTTTAACCCACTGCACCACCAGGGAGGCCCCTTTTTAAAAATCTTTAAAAATAAATTGTCAATGTGGAAGTAACCAACCACAGTCATCCCTAACACAGTATATATCATGTGCCAGACATAAATGCTCAGCATGTAACAGCACACATCCATTTAGCTTTGGAAGAAACAGTATGAAGATACCATTAGTGGAAGCAATCTAGACTCAGAAAAGTTATCTGCCAATGGCTAAAAGGTTAGGCCCAAACCTACAGATCTATGCTCTCCTTTTTTTTTTTTTTTTAGGATTTATTTATTTATGCATACAGAACTGGGATACAGGCCAGAGGTGAGGGGGACAAGAGGAGTCACCAGAGACAGTGGGGAGCAGAACAGGCAGACTGCGGAAGTACACTGCTGAGGGAGACTGAAGAGGTCAGCAGCACCATGTAGACCACCCCCATCACGCCCTGGGCTTCTGGGACCGAGGATCAAACTGGCATTGGCCGATTGCAGTGCTGAGTTTTCACACTTTGCGCCACCAAGAGAACCCTCTGTGTTTTTTGTTTGTTTGTTTGTTTTGCTTTTGGTTTTTTTGTTAAACCTTGGGCTTTTCCCTATTCTTAACTTCCTAGTGTACATTCTGTAGAACTTTTAAGGTCTGTACTGCCTCTCCTCTGATTAGACCTTCCCAGTTTACTCAATCTGAAATAGCTTCTAACTCACTTGTGTCCAGAGTATCATCTGGTTAGTCTGCCTTTCAGAGTACCTGCCCTTCCCAGAATGGATCATGTTGCTATGTTTGGTTAGTTGTTTATGATCTGTCTTCCTTACAGTCTGGGAGTTTCAGGAGAGTTCGTCCCAAGTCAAGCTTGACCCCTATCTTCTATCTTCAGCCCCTAGTACTGGACCAACTGAGAAGGTGATCAGTATATTTGTTGCTGTTGCTGTGATATCAGAAATATTCACAGTTTTCACAACCCAGTGCTTAGACTTTTAATTTCAAATTGTTGCTATTCTCAGTTGAAAAATTAATCTCATGCAAAACCAAATATTCAAATTGTACAAGAATGAGCCTCTTTGCCTTCCTTTCATATTGATCACAAGTTGTTCTGGGGTGTTTGGGTTACCTTTTCCTTTTTATAATTTTTTTTAAGATTTATTTATATGTGCATACAGAACTGGGGTACAGGGGCAGTGAGAGGTGCAGGGGCAGTGAGAGGATTCACCAGAGACAGATGGGGAGCACAACAAGCTGACTGATGAAGTACACTGCTGAGGGGAGGGGGGTAGTGGTCAGGAGAGGTCTGCCTGCCACATGGATCACCCCTGGGGCAGGCAGGGATTGAACTCATGGGGAAATGACTTTAGCTTCTTAGTGCTGTGCATTAACCCTATGTGCCACCAGGGAGGGCCCTTTTTTTTTTATAATTTCTTAAATTTTTATTTATCTTTGTGGAGAAGAACTGGGGTGTAGGCCAGAGTTGCAGGGATTGGGGGTATGAGAGGACTCACCAGAGACAGAGTGGGAAGAAAATAGGGGGAGCTACTGAAATACACTGCTGAGGGGAGTGGCTTATGGGCCAGTCTAGAGGTCTGCTGAGCCCTATGTGGGTCACCTCTCTGACCAGGGGTTGAACTTTGGCCTTACCATTGAGACTTAAGCCCTAAACCACTGGGGAGGCTTCAATGCATATTATTTCTTAATATCCCTCATGATTCTGAATGTTGCCTGAGCTTTTCTGGGTGATCTTGCTTTTAGCTTTTTGGTTGCAGTGACAAGACTAGTGTCATTGGAAGGCCCAGCTAGCATGGTTACTAATGATGGCTCACTCAGTCACTCGATGTTGGCTGGAAGGTCCATTAGAGCTGAAAACCAAAGTGCCTACATGTGATCCCTCCATGGGACCCCTCCATGTGACTGAGGTTTTTCAGAGCACTGTGGCTCCTGAGGAGGAGCACCCCAAAATAAGCATTCCATCAAATAGTAAGAAAGTTGCCAGTCTTAAGGCTTGAGCCCAGATGCTAACACAGCAACACCTGCTGTGTTCTGGCCAACCAGTCACAATCCAGCCCCAGATTTAAGGTCTGGGGGGGGGGGTGGCGGGGGGAGGGGGGAGAGACCCCTGTTGTCAATGAAAGCAGTGTCAAGGAATTTCCGCTTATCTTTAATCTACCATCTACCACAAGTCACCAAATAAACCTACCAATGATATTGGCTTAATGTAACAAAGGTTTATTTCTCACTCACATCTCAGTCTAGGGTGGACAGTGAGTGTTCGTGTACTGTTCTCTTGTTCTCCTTGATCAATGACTTTTGATCAAGCTGTTTTCACAAAGCACCTCCATCATCTCAGAATTCTTTAATCCTGAC